CTAAGTTTTCAGTATCAGCGTCTAACTGGTTCAGCAGCTGGGTGGCTTGACTGTCTTGACGTCCCCCTCCCCTCCCCCACGGCAAAAAGAAGTAGACGGATGAGAAATCATCGGGCAATTTTTCAGGAGGTGAACCGCAAAATGTATTTCTAAAAATGAAACATACCACGAGTGCATAACTTTTAAGGAAGCTAAAACACACTGCAGTGGTCATTTAGAAAGCAGTATTCTTTAGTATATTCTGGCCACACGTATAAGACTTCATAGGCGAAGAAGCAAGGACAGAGCTGACATAATCAATGCCGAAAGAACAAGGCTGGTGAATAAGCAGTCGATAACACCAACACGACACCACAACTTTGAGAACAGTCTGGTGACGCCTCTTCATGCCGTCTTCAATGTCATGATAGAAGACATCTTAGCCAGCTTCCTTTGGGATCAGTCATCAGAGGTACCTTCGGATGATGCTGCATTGGAGGACTGTGCATGTAAGTGCACAATGTGCATTATCATCATTTGTGATAACATTACTATATTGTGCCTTCTTCTTTTCTCTGTATCCTCTACAGCCTGTTCTGTCCTTCATGGTCAGGGTTGGTAGACGCATCATGTGCGAGCTTTGGTTTGTGAGTTACGAAGATGCAGATATTCACGACTTGAGATATGCCATCTATCGATAACTTGCGCGGACGACCTCTAACTATGCCGCGGTTGTGCCTTAGAGACAGGGCTCTTTATTATGCATGATCTTGTAGTAGTCTTGAAACATGTCCGAATCATTTGATCTGATTCTGTGTGCGATGGTTAGAATTCACTTCATGGGTGGTGTGATCAGTCTTTCCTTTACAGATTATTTCCTGGTACTCAGTTATAGGCAAAGAACCCAACTCAATTTTATTTAAAAATTCATTCAACAAATATTTTGAATACATGATCGACGGACCTAAAACCGCGCAGTCGATTTGTTCTCGGCGTGGTATCTGGTTTTTTTTTTGTTTTGTTATAAAGATAAAGAGTAAAGGAGATTAGACAGACATTTATCTGCAGGGAGTTTTCTCTCTCTCTCTCTCTCTCTCTCTCTCTCTCTCTCTCTCTCTCTCTCTCTCTCTCTCTCTCGCGTGCGCGCGCGCGCGTGCGCGCGAGCACGCGCTCTGCGGAACGTTTTCATGAGGTACACCGCAAATATTTATAAAGAAAATGAAACAAACTAGGAGTGCATCACTTTCAAGGAAGATAGAACACACTGCAGAACGACTGGTCCCAAGACAAGAATGTTGCAAAAAAGCACGAGAACCAATCAAAAGATAAGTTCTTGCGAACCGAAGGACGGAGACCGAAACAGGACCCACAACGCTGAAACAGATGTGAAATAAACCGCTAAACTATGGGAGGGAATTCTGTAAACATTAATGATGGCCTAGTCATGTATGAATTATGTATCCTGCAGTTTTTCAAAACGTATTTGTAAACATAAATAATCGATTCTTCTGCTAGAAATGACATATTTTGTTAATGTTGACAATGAGTATATAAATAGTAACAATTTCTGATGTAAAACTGTTATTGACATATGGTTTTTTGTTATTGATCATCAAATGCCTAGCGGCATAAGCAGATACTGACAACAACAAAAAAGAATGATTGTATGGCCCATCGGCTGAAAGGGGTTTCTGGGACCTCTCCACGGGTTCTCCTCATCAGCATGGTGGCGCTTTGTGTCACCGGATGTTTATCGCTTGTGTGATGTCCTAGTGGGGTACAACAAGCGAGAGAGAGAGAGAGAGAGAGAGAGAGAGAGAAAGAGAGAGAGAGAGAGAGAGAGAGAGAGGGAGGGAAGGAGAGAGAGAGACTACACATCAACCGTTCAGTTTGCTTTCGTAAATTATGAAAATTGGTCGTTCATTCTTGATACAATGTTTTTAAATCTGTTTGTCCTATAAAGAAACTAATTAGAGGTTTGAAAGAGGTCGCAAACAAAACCAGAAGAGATCCTGTGGACAATGAAAAGATTGGAAGAGCCATCAGTTGGGGTTCCAATTTCATCGAAATCGTGTCACCCTATAATTATTCTGTTCCTTGCCAGTGAAAAATATACGGGTAAATAATTACATTTCTAGAAGGATTGGATTGGATTTTTTACCCCACAGGACATCACACAAGCGATAAACACCCGATGACACAAAGTGCCACCATGCGGATGAGGATCACCGTGGAGAGGTCCCAGAAACCGCGTTCAGACATTTGGCCATAATGATGACCTGCCTATATTGCGGCCCCTGGCAAAAGCCAGAGTGGGGCTTCAAATAACAAAAAATAACGTCCTAAGAAGGACGAAAAGCAGTAATTATTACATTTCTAGAAAAGGACCCCAAAAAATAAAAAAATTGGAGTGGTGACAATTTTTTTTTTTAAATTAAAAAATACAGGGGGTTGAAATCTATGACCAGCGAGCAGACAGGCAAGCCTGTTATATAGCGATCTATTACGTCATCGCAACCTCTCTTCCCCCCCCCCCCCCCTCCCACCTTTTTTTTTAACTTTAAAAATGTTTAGTTAAATGGCAACGGCGAAAAATATTTTAATATATATCAAGGGAGGTGATTAATACAAAGGAGAAAAGCATTTACTGCTTTAATTCCCTTTGTCAACAACGAAAGAAAAGAATAAGCCGGGTATAGTTGATACAGCCACAGTTCCCCCTGTGGGTTCCGGGGTCCCATTGTGGTGACTACACGTATAACCCACTACCTCCCCAGCAAGCATGTCATAAGAGTCGACTAATTGGAGACTTCCTTTGAAGTCGCAGTGCATCTGCCCGAGCGGCAAGGAACAACCAACTGCACACAAATAAGCCAGTAGACGGATGTACACGCAAAACTCGGGCCCTCGCACAAAGCCAAACATCAAACAACCAGGGCTTTCTGCCGGAGCTTACAACTGGTGAACAGAAGACGAAAAAGATGAAAACAGCACCAGTGATGTCATCATATGTTTATTATCACATCAAAAAGACCACACACAAAAAATTGCAACATATCTAAAAAAAAAAAAAAATGGCGTGTGTGTGCTCATTATGCAGTTGCAACCAGGACCAGAGCCCCACAGCTATTAAATATGCCCACTACCTAAATACGCCATATCATCAAAAACCTGTAAAACGGGCTTTCTCAGGGTGACCCATTTAAGGGCGAACATATAGAGGTGGGGGAGGGGGGGGGGGACGCCACATTATGTGCTCTAGGTCTGTAAATAACCACACATTAACAGCATTCATTTGTTCTCAGGTGTGTTTTTTACAGCCATAAGTCTGCATTGCATAACAATTTAATGTATAATTAGCACCTGACCACTCTTGTCTTTAACTCAAAATTGCTGCTTCTTAGAATATTTCATACATCTTCTATTTTATACGTTGTTGATTATATGAAGAGCACACTGCCGTGGTAAAATTTAACAGTTAAAAAAGAATACACACAGATGAATAATTATTTATTACACCCACACACACACACAAAAATTGCTAACTAAAGGAACACAGGGTTTAACCAATCATATATATATATATATATAAGTGTGTGTGTGTGTGAGTAAAAAAATATATACATATATATACATATATATATATATATATATATATATATATATATATATATATATATATATATATATATATATAGGCAAACTGGGCAGATACTGTTAGATCTATATTTTACAGAACCATCGGCACTCGTCAGATGCTGTGATCAGTATCACACAGCTTGCCTTTACTTCCCCGGACTTAACCTGATACCCATTTAAGGCTTGGTGTGTGTGTGTGTGGATGTTTTATACAGGTGAATAGTACAGGACCCTTTCCCATGCCATTAGGCGTATTGGACATACAGTGCTAGACGTACACATTTAGACCGCACGGCACTCCGTGGGTGATGTGGTCAACATCAAGTCGCCCATGTTTACTTCCCAGGACTTTGCCAGCTGGGTCGACTCAGGAGCCAAGGTCATGTCTGAATAATTCTAACTCTAAGTGGATTTGAACACACGACCTTTGGATTGGCAGGTGAGCATCTAGTCGCTACACTATGGCAGCTCCCTATAGGTGAATAGGGTTTCTGGGATTTGTATCTGAACAGTGTCTAAGTCACTGGGCATCCATTTTTCTGGCCGCAATCCAGATAGGGAAAGATTTAAAAAAACAATGGTAGGCTACTCTAAATGAGACATAAGGAATCAAGTGAAGACAATAGTTCTGAAATCCCATGCACTTGTTGTGAAATATTCTTCTTGACATGAGCTGGTATTTCTAGTTACACTGGCCATTGCCACAAGCTGTGACTCCCAAGCCTGCTTATAGCACAACATATCTTGAAAATCACACCATCTCATCAGACATGAGATTTCCCAAAGGCTGTCCTATGTTCTAGGGGTGATATTTTTTGTTATTTTCAACGCTATAAGCATTCTATATTCCATGTGAGCAGCCAGCATGTTCTATTTTCCAAGTTTTGAGCGGCCAGCACTCTGTATGTTACTTGCATTGTGTGTTTGCTTCTCATTGCTATCACTGTGACCTTACTTGGTGACTTGACCCAGGGGCCTCCCCAAAATGTCGCCAATTCTCAAACTAGTGATGGTTGCACAAGAGACCCAGTTGATAGAGAAAAGAAATTAAGTTCAACTAGTTGATCACTCGCGCACACACGCATTCATGCGCACGCACGCACCCACACACAAAGTCGCTCAATGACGCCTCCCAAGAAAGAAGGCTCCATATTTTCATGTCATGGCCCTGCACAAACGAGAGTCGTTTTCGTGCATGATGTATATAGACGGTGAAGATAAGGGAACGCATATCCTAACACCCCTACAACATAGGACAACCTGTGGGAACCACCATGGTATGAATCTTGCGCCCAAAGAGATGGGGCGATTCAGGTGATATGTACCCACAACACTACTGACTGCAAAGACGAAAAGGTACCAACCAATATAATCAAGTCCTATCATGACTTGATGTTTGAGTGAATAATCACAACCTGTGATCTCAGCCCAGCATCTAAACCCCCATAAGGTATCACATACACATCACTGGTTCTCTCTGGCGAGACCTCCACCAAATTGGCATTGCTTAGAACCAGATCTTTCAGGGGCCATAAGCCAGTATATTTGCACTTTCCGTGACGTCCAAGTACCAATACATCAGCTTTGTTCTCTAAAACCAGATCTGTCAATTGGTTGCATAATGAGGCATCTGGGTTTGTAGGCCAATAGTATATGCTTGGTGTATCTGGTTCCCTTTCACAATGTCTTAGAAACTCCTCAGGCACATCTGGATCTCTGAAGGCAATAAAGAAACCTGAAAGTACAGGACATTTAAAGAAAAGAACAATGGGGGAACCACAGAACACTGTCCAATTCATAACTGAGTAAGTTTTCAACACCAAACACTTTACCTCTCAAAATTGTTATTTAAACAAGCTGTTTCATTCCAGTCACGACTTCTTGATGTTCATCTACTTTTCTGAGGCAAGACGGACATACAATCAGACAGTTACAGGTGCCATCAGAATTAGAACTCTTTGCTTGCTGCTGAAGAAGGGGACGGAGAGCTTATGGAAGGGGACGGAGAGCTTATGGAAGGGGACAGAGAGCTTATGGAAGGGGACGGAGAGCTTATGGAAGGGGACGGAGAGCTTATGGAAGGGGACGGAGAGCTTATGGAAGGGGACAGAGAGCTTATGGAAGGGGACGGAGAGCTTATGGAAGGGGACGGAGAGCTTATGGAAGGGGACGGAGAGCTTATGGAAGGGGACAGAGAGCTTATGGAAGGGGACAGAGAGCTTATGGAAGGGGACGGAGAGCTTATGGAAGGGGACAGAGAGCTTATGGAAGTGCCAGAGTGCTGTGATGTCGATTCTTAATTCAACATTTCTACTTTTCTCCTGCTATAAAATTCCACTATTTCTTCTTCTTCTTTGCGTTCTTACTTAGTCAACCCTTTTCTACCCTGGTGTGTAGAGGTTTCCTAGAGAGATCGCCAGACTTCTCTATCAGCAATTTTTTGTCTGACTTTGTTCCATTCCAGTCTTCTAATAGTCAGGACTGTTGGATGCTGTCTTCCCAGTTAACCTTGGTTCATCCTGAAGGTCTTGTTTCCTGGTCCTCTGTTTCCCATGCCTGCTTTGGTGACCTATTCTCTCTCCCATTCTGCATACACGCCCAAAATCCTGTGACTCATCCACCGGAATTTGTAAGGCCTGGATTTCAAGGTCATGACGTGTCGCATGACTGCAATCTTTGTTCCTTCTTGTCTTCTTCTTCTTCGCGTTCACCAGCTGTATACTTTAGCGGAAAGTTCTGGTTGCTCGTCCACTACTGAACTGCAGTCCTGCTCCAGAACCTGAGTGTTGCGTGTGCATCAGTTTTACAGATCTTATTCTCTTGAATACAGACTGTTGGTTCCTTGCCTCTCCGGCAGATGCACTCCGACTTCAAAGGAAGCTCCCCAATTAGTCGACTCTTACGACATGCTTTTGGGGAGGCAGTGGGTCTATTCTTGTTTTCCCCACAATGGGGTCCCGGAACCCACAATGGGGGTTCCTTCTTGTTACTTGGGCCATCTTTTTCAGATACCTCATGTGAGAGGCCTCAAGCTGGCTTCTGTGAGCTGCTGTCATTACCCATGACTCAAATCTGTATGTCAGGACTGGCACATAGGCAGAGCAGTGTACAGCCATTTTTATCCTCCTGCAAATTTCTTTTTTTGCTGAGAAACCCTCAATTTATGGCGTGGTAAATTCTCTCAGCTGCTGCTTTTCAAGCTTCTTCGCATTTATCGACTGTAAACTCCATTGGAAAGTTCTGGTTGTTCATCCACTTCTGAACGTTAGTCCTGTTCCAGAACCTCAGTTTTTGCGTGCACATCAGTTTCACAGATTTTGCTTATTTGTATGCATTCTGTTGCTTCATCGACTCTCAGGCAGCTGCACTGCAACTCAGAAGGCAGCTCCCCTAATTAGTCAACTTTTATGACATGATTTTAGGGAGGTTAGTCGGTTTATTATCCCCACCCAACACAAACACACAGAGGTAATTCCATCAATTAATCTATATAACCAAATGTGACTAGTTTCAATAGTTCTGCAGTGAATAAAAACAGTAGTTATATTTACCTGTCAGCAAGGCCCAGTGAGCTTTGTGGCCTAACTTTTGGCAAGGAGCATGATTTCTATCAGCATCATATCTACAGTATGTCAAGAACTTCAATGTTTTTCCCTGCAACTCAATTCTATATACACACTTGACACTAATTTTCCCAATAGCTAACTAGCTAAATATAAATTTATTTTAAACAAAATTTATTTATAAAAAAAGAAGAAACTGAAGGAGAACTTAGGGGGGAAAAGTCGTAATATTTAAAAACTAAATAAGAAATTGTTTACATAAATATACTGACACACTTTTACTGACAAAAAAGAATGGGTAAGAGGGAAGACAATTACAGGAAGTTTTAGGTGTCTTATATATGGTTTGAAAATGGATAATGCTCACTGATTAATACAAAGTTAACACCATAATATAACTAGTATAACCATAAATGCCACATACTGTTTACAGAATGTTAAATTACCAGGGGAAAAAAATTGAAATTTAAAATATATAAGATCTGTCATCAGAAAACAGTGGCTATATAAGAAACTAAGATGATAGCGTATGGACTAAGCACAACGAAAAATATCTTCCGCATTTAGAATATGTTAATGTACGCAGTAGGGAGTCGCCGTGGCTGAGCGGCTAGACGCTTGCCACGGATCGGAAGGTCGTGGGTTCACTCCCTGGCGGAGCCGGACTTTTTTCAAAAATGACCTTGGCTTCCACGTCGACCCAGCCTTGATTGGGTACCGGGTGCAGTCCCGAGAAGTAAAGGCGGCCGGCGTGATGCTGACCACATCACCCTTCTTATCTTATGTCGATTGGTCTATAAAAATATAGGTCTAGCCCTATACGCCTAATGGCGTGGAAAAGGGTCCTTTACTTTACATTTTTTTTATGTACGCAGTAAGCAAGTAAATTAAGTAATAAAACAGTAAGAAACAGAAATTATGATCTTCTACAACAACGGCTCTCAACCTGTGAGTCGTGACCCTTTTGGGGGTCAATCGAAGCTTTCACAGGGGTCACCTAAGACCAGAAAAACACATATTCACTGAAGTTATGAAGTAGCAACGAAAATAATTGTATGGTTTGGGGTACATAAGGAACTGTGTTAAAAGGTTCCAGTATTAGGAATATTGAGAGCCACTGATCTACAAGAAAGAAAGAAATACCCCAATGTAACAACCAACCTTATGGGGCATAATTTTAAATATGGAATTGGTTTAATTATCTAAGGCAGTGATTCCCAAACTGTGCGCCACGGCACCCCGGGGAGCCGCGACCTCTTTTCAGGGGCGCCGTGAAATATTGCAAAAGTTTCATAATTAATTTAACCAAGATACGAATAGTCATACTTTTACTCAGGTAAGGGCGCGGTGGAAACATTTTCATTGAAAAAAGGCACCGCGACCAAGAAAAGTTTGGGAAACACCGATCTAAGGCATCCATGATTCAGGTGTTGCAAACGAGCTTTGTAATTCCATGGTTAAACCCTTGCTGCATGTGACCGCCTTGAGTTGGTTTGTACTGTGATAAAGAGCCGACCATTCAGAGGGTGTAACTGCTAACTACTGAATGTAAAATTGCCAAGTGAAATTACAAACAGCCAACGAATCTGCTGCCTGTGATTGTGGAGCAGAAAGACAGACACCTGAGCACATACTGCAGTACTGCCCTAACCTCTCCCAGCAAAGACTGGATCTGGCCCAAAGGAGCCACATTGCAAGAGAAGCTATGGATGACCGGTGGCGACCTTAAACGCACAATCCTATTTGTGACCCAGACAGGACTCAATGTTTAGCATGACTGATATCGAACGCAGAAGAAGAAGAAGTACAAACAGCCAAAACAAATGATAGGGCTGGTTCAGCAACAAACTTTACTTTGTGTGTGTGTGTGTGTGTGTGTGTGTGTGTGTGTGTAATCTATGAATCGTCATAACAGCGGATGAAAGACGTCTTGTAGAGGTTAGAATAAGAATGACACTGGCAATAGCAGCCTTCAGCATGGTGGATAATATATATACCTACAAATTCAACTATCCCAAAAAAAAAACTGTAAACTCCAATGAGAGAAAGCCTGGTACAAATCTATATAGAACACCACTGCTATGAGAAAAAGCCTGGTACAATGCTCTATAGAACACCACTGCTATGAGAAAAAGCCTGGTACAATGCTCTATAGAACACCACTGCTATGAGAAAAAGCCTGGTACAATGCTCTATAGAACACCACTGCTATGAGAAAAAGCCTGGTAAAGTGAAATATAGAACCATACTGGTGTATACATAAAAGATCTAGACAATAAGGGGAAAAAACGAGAAGTATCAAATGGCAGTTGAATTATGGTTTCTGATAACCATGCAACAACAACAACAAAACTATTATAGACGACTGAAAGAACCAGTGCCATCTTAACAGCATTATGGGCTCCTTGAAAAAGCAGTGCACTGGGCCCAAAATACACAACCACCCACAGAAATAAGCATTAAAGTATAGTCTGTGCACAGATTAACAATTTCTCCCATTCCCCACCACACCATGATTGTGGTGCTCCAAGAGTCTTTGTCTTCTTCATGCGCACCAGCTGTAAACTCCAGTGCAAAGTTCAGGTTGCCTTCTTCTGGGCTTTGGTGTTGTCCTGGACTTGTGTGTTTTGTGTGCACATCCATTTTACCAATCTGGCTTATTTGTGTGTAGACTGCTGGTTTCTTGCCTCTCAAGCAAATATGCTATGATGTCAAAGGCAATTTCAATCTTATCTATGTTGACAAGGCTCCAAAATGGAAACCTGTTTCTTAAAAGACCACAGAGAGGTGCTTTCAACTGCCAAGCATGTCCGCTCCCAGACAACTGCCCCACATGTCCACTCCCAGACAACTGCCCCACATGTCCACTCCCAGACAACTGACAAACGTGTTCAATCCCAGGCAAGTGACAAGCGTGTCTGCTACCAAACAATTGCCAAGCATGTTCACTTGTTAAGAAGATACTGGATAAAACAATAAATGAGGCAGTAAAACATGATTGGAATCAGTTAACTTCTACTAATGTGTCATAGGATACGGAACTAGAGCAATGTTTCTGTTCGCAAGCTGCTCAATAAGTTCTCTTCCATGATACCAGCTGGGTGATTCGGTGTGTTGCAGACGCAAACATTCAGTCTGACAAGGCAGGAAATGTGAAGCTAATTCTTGCATAGCAGATGCTGCCAAATAAATGGAACCGTTAGCAATAACAACATTTTCTGAGGGTCTTTACATGAATATACAAAGAAAAAAAACAAGAATAAGTGCCTTCATTACAACCATCATGGTTTTATCTAAGTAGTTCACCATTTTGTCCATCTGGGCTGTGTCAAACTGCAGAATATGTTCGACTCCCGGCATAGTAACAACAGCTTCCGATTTTTATGTTGTCTAGTGTGTCTTATCTATACACTATCATTATGTAATTTGATAGTTTTCACAGTGGGAGGGAAATTTTGAATTTTGAAGGGAAAAAAAGAACATATCAAATGCCACTTAACAAGCATGTCATAGAAGGCAATTAACTAGGAATTTGGTGAAAGATATGTTTGGGCATAAAGGCACAGATACTGCAGCTTAGCTGTAAACTACAACAAAAAGTGCCCTGTGCCTTTTTAGGGGCAAACTTGGAAACTTTGAAAAAGAAAAACTTATTTTATATATATATATGTATATGTGGTATTCTTTACACACCTTCCTTTTATAAGGTCACATTTTCATCACTAATGTCTGGCTTAACCTTGTTTCTCAATATTCTCAAAATTTATCAAAAAGCTACAGGTAGTGAAGGGCATCCTCAAAGTCTGCAGCAACATTGACAGTGATAACATTATATTTTTTTTTAAAAGAACCTGCCGAGGATTTCAAAATAGATAGTGCACTAAACAGACAGACAGTGCACTCAACATCAAAACAAATGACACTCCTAAAACTCCATACATGTGAATCCCTATGTGGGTCCTGGAACCTACATTTGTTTGGGGGGGGGGGGGGTCAGACATCCCCCTATATTCCCCCCCCCCCCCCCCCCCAAGCATGGATAATAGTCAACTGATTAGAGGTTTTCTTCAAAATCTGAGTATATCAGTCTGAGAAGCAAGGAACCAACAGTCTCTACACAAATAAGCCAGATCTGTAAAACTGATGTGCATGCAAAACTCAAGTTCTGGAACAAGAACAAAGTCCAGAAGTGGATGAACAATCACAATTTTCTGCCAGAGTTTACAGTCAGTGAAAGCTAAGAAGAAGAAAAAGAAGATACATTTGAAATTTTAATTTCACAGGATCAAAGTTAACTCTTTGAGTCCCAGGGGTTTTAGCATCACAGGCCCAGAGGGTAGTAAAGAGAGTCATAAAATCAGCGCATACTGCGTTCATTGGGCTTCTAGGTAGGAACCTATGAACGTCAAATGCGTTTCTTGGGACTCAAAGAGTTAAGGTTTTAAGTTTTAAAAGTCCATTTCAGTGTAAACATGCTCATGAAAGAGAAAGTGATAAATTATGCCTGCTTTGCTTGGTATTAGTATTCCACTGAAACCAAGAGCTGTGCATGCAAGGAAAGTGTAGGGGGAGGACTAAGAGAAATGTAAAATTAAGATTTTGCAAGTAAATGGGAACAGTTAAAAGTAAGGAAAGTCAGACCTGACTGAAATGCCTGCTGAAATCAGAAGCATTTGGCTGTATACTTGAAAAAGCAGTTCATCTTCTTCTTCTCCTTCTTCTTGGCTTCCTTTGGGTACTAACAACGTTTGAGGGAAAGGTGTAAGGATCCTCTGTGCTCTCTTTCTCTCTCAACTCCTAAGTTTGTCTTAATTTCTGTAAGGTTGTTTCTGATGCTATTGATCATTATTTTGCATATCTTCCCCTAGCTCTGTGTCCATTACGCTTCTTCTATGTGGCTCTATATAATGATGTTGAAAATGATACATAATTAGCAAACAATGGTGACCAACCTGAGAACATTTCACCAGATTTACTAAATTCTCTTTTTGTAGCTTCTGACAGAATTTCTTCAGTTGTAACACAACCGTCTCCAACTAATTCTGAAGCCATAGCCAGTGCTACCATTCCACATCTGTATAAAACACATATTTCATAATAAAGCATATCATTTATTGCACATAAAGACAATAAAAAAATATATACAATACTTTTTTCGTACCTTGGGAAGCCGCTATGATGTAGCAGATTGTTGTTCGCCTGCAGATAATAAAGGTTGTGGGTTCCAATCTGAATGGGGCTGGACATTTTTCAAAAATCATCTTGGCTGCCAGCAGTGTTGCCACTTTGGATGTTTTGCATCCAGATTTAGATGTTTTTCCTTGCATTTAGATGGCATTTCTGACATTTAGATGGTAGATGTTTTCTAGATTTTTTCATTTGGAGTGAATTTATCAAATCTAACCTAAGAAACAGGATGAAATTTGACCTCTTAAATGCTACCTTGACAATAAAAAGGAAAAGGCTGTTCCACTTATCAGCTCCCTGATTGTGTATTAAAAGAAATTGAAACAGCTAAAGCATGCCAGAGTCATTTTGGATTTGAAGCTTCAACTTCATCATCCAAGCTAAGTTTATCCTGTGGATCTTGTAAGGCAGACTTCAGTAAAGATAAGGACATGATTCTATAGGGTACATCATATCAATAGCTATGTAATTTGTGACTCTTTCCATTTTGATGTTTTTTCTAGATTTTTCTACACAAATTTAGATGTTTTTAGATATTTGTTGACTCCATTTTGGATATTTTTTGTCAAAGAAAAGTGGCAACACTGGCTGCCAGGCTGACCTAGACCTAAATGGGTACCAAATAAAGTCCTGGGAAGTAAAGGCAGCGGGCGTGATGTTGACCACATCACCCACCGAGTGCCAATTGTTCTATAGGTCTAGCCATATATGTCTAATACGCCTTAAGGCGTGGAAAGGGTCCTGTATTTCTTTGTGCCTAAACATAAAAGAACCAAAAAAACTGACTATCACATTCAATAACAATAGAATTATGTAACAATCTGCTAACTATGGGAATATTATGTGGTGATGCCCCAATCTTTTCCATGGAGCGACTCTCATATCACTGTCTGAAAGCCACCATAAGAATGGTCTTTTTCAGAACTACCCATAAATGGGATTGAACCGTAGTAAACATCAAGTGATTTCATTAGCCGCTAAGCCAGAGCTCCATAACAACAAAAGGATTTTTAAAATTCTTTGTATGCTATTTTGTTTACCTCTAAAAACTTTTTTACATCTGAAGTTACCCATGTACATTTCTGTACTTTCCCCAAATCAGTATCAATGGTCTGAATTCTGATGTTACCTTCTTCTTCTTCTTCAAGTTCACTGTTAACTCCAGGAGAAAAGGTCTCATTTTTTTTTGTCCCCTCCGGACTTAGGTCTTGCTTCAGAACCTGAGTGTTGCATGCACACATCCGTTTTACAATCTGGCTTATCTGTATGCAGACTGTTGATTCCTTGCCTCCCAGGCAGAAGCACTCTGACTTTGAAGGATGCATCCAATAAGTTGACTCCGACGACACGCTTGCAGGGGAAGCAGTACATGTTCCCCCCACAATAGGGTTCCGGAACCCACACGGGGATTGATATTACCAATATTTCTGTCTTTCTGTTTTTCAATCCGAGGCCCATTTTTCACCTATAGAATCACTAATCCCCTCTGATGTATGTCTCCATTTTGGTGTGGCTGAAATGCCTGTGAGTTTCAATAACTCCAAGAGCTATGTCAATGGTAGCTTAGCCTCTGGTAGGTCTCCCGTTTTGGAAAGGTAAAGAAATAGGGGTCAGTCAAAAAAGAGATTCAGCCCTGCTGCCTCGCAAGCAGACTTAGGGCAGTCAAAAGATCATCATCATCATCAATCATCATGGCATGCTTGGAAGTCTCTCTAGCCATATGCATCATCTTCAATGTCTTGAACCCACCTTCACGAAGGTCAGATCTTCCTCGTTTTTCAGAAACTGAACCTTTCATCACCAATCTCTCCAAACTACCATGATGTTCAATCTCTCCAAACTACCATGATGTTCAATCTCTCCAAACTACCATGATGTTCAATCTCTCCAAACTACCATGATGTTCAATCTCTCCAAACTACCATGATGTTCAATCTCTCCAAACTACCATGATGTTCAATCTCTCCAAACTACCATGATGTTCAATCTCTCCAAACTACCATGATGTTCAATCTCTCCAAACTACCATGATGTTCAATGTGTACAAAATACCTTAGCTTTTGGGACTGGATGCTGTTTATAAGCTAATTTTTCTGTATGCTCAGATTATAGTCAAAACATAGGGAGGACAAACCCAAAATAATGGGCTTGTCAAAATCAGATAAACTCAGCTGCAAGAATAACATAAACAGTGCAACATAACTTGTATCTCTATGATGGATCATTAATGTGAAAGTTTCAAGAAAAAAGAATAAAGGAGAATTAAAAAGCAAGTGAGATGTTACTATCAATTTTGTTTCACAATCTGACTCTGTCTAATAAATCTTTACCATTATAGAAAAGTATCTTCTTCATTCAAGCAAACTGCCAAACTAGATGTGTAAGTTTTCTGTCTGAACACTGTCATAATTTTCCTTCAGTTCTGGAAAATTTAACAAATTGTCATAAAAACCATGTAGGTTCTGACAGATGTTTACAAGCAAATCTTTTATGTATAAGTAATGTATAAACAAAAAGGAAAAGCATTCAAGGAAATTATCAGAACAAAAATATTATGCATCTCTACTAAATATAATGCATGTCTATTATTTGTGCTCGTTTTCTTTTATTTAAAAAAAAAGGACAAAATCTACTAACGTGGGTCCACACTGGATAACTGGATGAACTGGATAACAGCTAAACAGAAATATGTATCCATGATTATCAGCTTCTGACAACCTATAAAAGGAAAGTTGAAAAAACAAGTGTAATTGCTGATTGAAAAAAAAAAAGTTATGCACCCTGATCTAGACTTATTACAATAATAGCAGTTTTAAAGGTGAATGTTATGAAGTTCTCCACATTGGGTCTGCTCCGCCCATTCACACATTAGGTCACTTTTGATTGGTACTTGCCCAGACTTGTCAACTTTGCTCATGGTTACGGGGAGAAAGGGGGGGGGGGGGGGTGTGTCCTAGTGAACCATTTGCTTAAAAAGCTTTCTGCATTGTCTTCCATTTATGTTTTCATTTCAGCACTCTCGTAGGGGGTTTTGTGTTATGGCCAGTTCTGCAAGTTTCTTGACCGTTAAAAACGCTGACATCCTGGAATATCCAAGATGCTATATCAATGGCTTGTGTAGAGAACGCAAAAAGCTTTTCGAGCAGACAGAACACCGGGACACCCCAGTAACCTTCAGCAAAGTTTACAAGCCCAAGGTAGTATGAATGAAATGAGGGCTTGTGCACAAATGATCAGAGCTGACCCAGCTGGGGGGAACTGTGTAGAATTTACTGTTTGAAAATACACTGCCAAGTTTAATATGTCGTAAGGTGCATATTTCTGACATATTTATTTTCTCTATTGTTTATTACAATCAGACGTTTCACCAAAATATGTGATCTTTGTTCATATTTAAAGTTCTTTGTATACATTCCCATTTCTTCAGAAGTCAACACACACATTCTCTACTGAAAGTAGTAGTATACTTGTTGCCATCTTCATAGTTTCTCTTCAAATTCAGCTTTCGCTGACCAAGAAAATTTTCTTTCACATAAACAGCAGGAATGGATCTACTACATTATATGTCCCTCATCACTGTTAGCATAGGAACACTTTAACAGTTACTGAGGAAGGAGACAGAGTACATGTGGGAATGACCCAAGTGCGGTCAGGTTAATTCTTGATTCGTCCATTAACATTATCACTAGTCTTCTTCTTCACTTCCTCTTTTACCGCTGTGGGTGTCGAGGGAGATATAAGGTTCTGTTTCTAGCTCTTCTGGCTGCCTCGACCATAGGCACATCGTGCTGTTGTAGAGTTTCTCTGATGTTATCCTTCCATCTTGTTCTTGGTCTACCCTGTGCTCTACGTCCTTCTTCTCTTTCCATGTATGCTTTGTATGGTATGGTGTCACAAGGCATTCTCTCTAAGTGGGCAAACCATTTCACTTGCTGTCTTTGTATGTAATCCAGAATTGGTTCTGTGCCGACTTGTTCTCTTATGATCTCATTCCTGATCTTATCTCTTATGGTCACTCCTACAGCCCTTATCACTAGTCAATCTTTTTATTTTATCTTCCCACTGAAACCCCTGTCTTAATTTTACCATTTTGCCTATCACCTTTTCCTCAAGCGTGCTTTCCAGCTGGGAAGTGGTTTATTAAAAGTGTCTAAAATTTTGTATTTGCCTACATTTGTTTGAGAATTCTCTTTAATATCATTTGAAGTAGTAGATTCATACGCCTACTCATGTAGCAATATACATAAAGATGGGGAAACAAAGGGAGACATACAAATAAAAATATTTCTATCTTTTTTTTCCCCTAGTGTTCATAGGCTGTAAACTCCAGCAGAAAGAGTTAAGGACAGACTGGCTGCTCTGCACAACTTGGTGGAATACTGATGCATGATAAAGCAGATCTGGTTAAGGCCTTATGGGAGCACATGTACAATTTAGAACAGCAAGCTGATCATCACAGTCTGGTGAGAGAGATGCAGCGAGGAGTGGCGAAGGAGCCTTGCCAATATTCTATGCTCAGAGGAAAGGCAAGACGGGCATATAATCAGACTGCTACTGGCACCACTGGTATGGGAACTCTGTACTGGCTGCTGAAGATGAGGATGAAGCACTTAAGGGAATGCCCTGAGTGCTGTGATGTCTGTTCTCGAATCAAATCAAATTTAAAAGCTTTTACACAGTGAATGTGTCAGCACCACACAATAACATGAAGTATAGCTAGCACTTCACAACTCTCGGCAGTAAGAAATATATATGTAGCAGTGATATACATTAGTAATTCCACATTTATGTAAATAAAAAGACATGGCAGTCAACTTAAAACTATTATGGTGACATTTACTATGAAACAGAACAATGTGATCATTATATATGTGCATATTTCCGAAGGTCTGCGTTTATGGCTTGGGCGTTGGAACGGGCTTCGTAATGCGGGGGTGCCAGGTTCAATCCCAGCTGCAGATGATTTGTCTTGCATTGGTTTCAACAGTAGTGCCGAGAGTTGACCGTTCAGAAGTCAATGGCAACTACTGAACATGCGGTTTGCCTAGAGGGGCCACAGCAGCCAAAGAATGCTGCCTTTGGTCTACAATGTCCTGTAAAGGATAAGCAACTAACTACATTTCTGAGAGAAGAATTAAATGGTTTCCCTAAATGTATTCAATTCTGTAGTATGGTGTTAGCAGGATATGCCAAATAGGCAAGACAATAAATGTTCTAAGCATTTTTTTTTTTTGTCTCCATGTTCAAATAGTTCAAAAAGTAAGTGATATAGAATGCAGTTGTGATGCTACTGATCTTTCAAGTTTTAAATAAAGAAAGGGGAAGATTTAACATACCACAAACCTTTTCATACAGAAAAAATTATGACATGCTTTCTTGCTTTCCTCTGCCACTGAGAAGTATGGTTCAGAGAGACGTGTGCCGCCAGAGTTGAAGGGACTGGGTGAGATACTGCTGGCATTCTTCGCTGATAACAGTACAGGTGGTGGAGGGACTGGGTTTTGTTGAAATAATGGCGAAGTTTGATGCATTGGGTTTGCTGGAATAACCAAAAAGTGGTGAGAACAAGGGTGACTGCAGTCAAGCTAGCACCTAGACTATGGATGAGGTAATTTTGCAAAGACAAATGTGTGGTCTGATCACCAGGGTCAGATTCTCTTATCACTGCTAAGAAATCTTGCTCTGGTGATCAAATCATACTCATACAGCATGTTAAGAAAGGTGGAGACAGCTATGCTCCGTGCAGCGTGGTAAGTAATGCTTCAGAGGTCCTGGATAGACAGTGTCCTTCAGATATTTCTCCAGGTCATGCCAGTGTGTTTGGAAATGAACAGGCATGGACAGACTGGCTGGTTCTGCACAACTTGATGGTGAATTGATGCAGTAGAAGGTAGATGATGTAAAAGCCCTTTGTGGGCAAGTAAACAGTGTAGTGGCACAGATAGATCATCAGGGTCTGAGGAGAATGGTGCTGCGTTGACCTGAGTTTTGTGTGTACATCAATTTACAGATTTGGTTTATTTGTATGCAGACTGTTGGTTTTTTGCTTCTTAGGCAGATGCATTCTGCCTTCGAAGGAAACACCCCAAATTAGTCGCTTCTTAGGGAATGCCTGAAAAGGGGGGTTGGGGCGGGGGGGGGGGGGGGGTAGGTTAATTCTTTTCCCCTATAACAGGGGTTCATGAATTCTCTTACTTTATACTATTTGCTATTATTCTAAACTCTCCTCCGCGTGTGCTTGTCAAGCAGTTGTCACGAAGCTTTTTTCTCGATTTTCTTAGTCTTACCTAACCTTTGTTAACATTAACAATGAAGAGCACTGCTGCAAGCCAAAGAAGAATTTGTCAATTTCAAGAAGCAGAATTGAAAAAAAACCAGCACGGAGCTGGTGTCGTCGGCAGCTACAAACTGTGGAATACACTGAGGACAGGATCCGAGCACTTAGAGACTGAATGGTTCGACGAGCAATGAGGATGATCTGCCGACGAACTAATGAGGTAACTACGAACTATCAGAGAACGAACTGCAAAGTTTAAGTAAACAAGTGCCAATTTTGTCATTTTCTGCAGAGCAAAAACACGAATGATTACTCATGCGAATTTCTGTATTAAAAGTCAGATTCCATACACTTATTTTAGAGAACCTTACTCAGTTGCACATTAAATACATTGATAAATATTCTAAATAACCTTAACTCAAGGAAGACAGCTATTTAATTATTTCTGCTATTTTCAAAGGCACTTTTGGCGTGAAGATCGAACATTATACTAACAAAGTAATTTATCTGGAAGACACATATTAACATACATAATAAACGAAACAAAGTTGGTTGCAAAATCTTAATTATATGTGTCACATATAGTCAATATTACAGTGGATGGTTTATTCTGTGTCGTACAAACTCTAGCTAAAATCAAAGTAAGTAGTTTGTAGCAAATGCAGACATGTAGTTAGGAACGTATAAAAAGGAAGATGTGTAGTTCATCAAGGATTCCTTATACTGGTTTGCCAAAGTCATATTTCTTGTTCAGTGTTGAAATAATGTTTTTCCTAGTGAGCATCTAAATCTAACTTTACCCCCGGATCCGATACTGATAATACGACTACATGACTGATTGTTATTGTGGCACCATACGAAACCCGTGTATTTTATAGTGTTATGTATGAGTCACTGTTATATTTAAGAATGTAATGCTTTATGTAATCGAGTTCTACATCCTAATGTTATCTTTGTAGGTTGTTGACTTACATTTGTCCTATAATATTAATATATAGTGAATAATGATAATCAATAAAGAAAATGGCAAGATTTGTGTACGGTACGCTGTATAACACGATACAGGTAGATGCTAGATTGCTTATTATTATCGTTGTTATTATTACTATTAAATGACACAGAGACGTTGTGCTATATCAGGTTTTACTGTCCCACCCTTTGCTCCTCTGGCGGCTCCTTCCAATGCTTCCATGTTTTTCTTGTTATCAATGTGTCAACAGTTCTTTTATGTTTATCTGCTTAAGGTATTTTTACAGTTTATTTACTTTGTGGATTCTAGATGGAAAAAATATAAAGAGATTTAAGTTCCCTATCTCTCTCTCTGTCATTCTCTTGTCAGCTGTGTTCATGTCTCCATCTGTCCAGCCTCTTTGTCACATTCTCTCTCTCTCTCTCTCTCTCTCTCTCTCTCTCTCTCTCTCTCTCTCTCTCTCTCTCTCTCTCTCTCTCTCTCTCTTCTCTTCTCTTCTCTATTCTCTCCCTTTTCTTGGTTGTCTTCTTTTTGAACTCTGCTGATCCTTTTCATCTTCTCTTGCATAATTTCCTGCTTGGAATAATCTGTCCGCTATCTACTTGTGTCTTTCTTTCACTCTCCCTCTCTTCTCTCTCCATCTCTCATTTCTGTTTCTCTCTCTTTTTCTTCTATCTCCCTCTCACTTCTCTCACGCTGCAGTTTTCTGTCTTAACCCTCTCTCTCTCTCCCTCCCTCCCTCCCATGCTATCTTTCTTTGCTCAACTTTTCATTCACTAGTTCATACCTGGGAAGTATTTATCCACCATCTGCTATGTGTTTTCCCTCCCCCTCTCTTTCTGTTCCTCTGTCTCTTTCTTTCTGCTCCTCTATATTTCTCTTTCTCTCCCTGCCACCCTTCCCAAACACACACACACACACACCCTTTCTGTCTCACTCTAGCTTTCTGACTGGACTCTGTTTATCTTTCTTCCCTCACATTTTCATTCACCAGTTTATACCTTTTAAACATGTGTCCACCCACCCTCTACCCTGTCCTTTCCTCCACCTGGGATTACCATACATTCTTCCATCAGCCTCTTAACTATTTCAGTAGCAAACAACTTACTCTGCATTCTTCTGTCATTCAAATGATAATATAGTGTCCTTGTTGTCTTCCATCACAGACAGATCTTATTTTTACCTTTTATGTCTGAATTATTAGTTTGACTTTTTCTGCCCTGCAGTCTCTCTGTTGAACTCGTTTGAACCTAATCTCAGTTCCTTGGAACACAAGAGGTTCCAACAACTACTGAACTGAAAGAGTTATTCAGTTCTTGCATCCCTTCATCCTTTTATCTCATCTCTTTTTATGTCTTTTAGTTGTTATTATTATATGGCATGTTCAGAAATAAGAGGCTAACAAGTAGCATTGTGTGCAATAGTTTAGTCTGAACCTTCATGATTACTTCATTTTACAATTCATTCTGTTTTTGAGAACATTTCAGTGTCAGTCGTATAATAATATTAGACTGAGGTAGATGGAAAAACAAACTAATATTTTAACTCGGTCGCATTTTGCTAATTTTTCAGGAGTAATCTGATTTAGCAGCAAATAAAACACAATGAGTGGTTCTGAAAGTGAACAGGGAGCACAGGTAAAGACAAAAAATTAATTCCTGTTTTCACATAAGATTTTCTTTATCATTATTATGTGCCATGCCTCCCCATATGGGTTCTAAGGCCCCATTTTTATGGAAAACAGAAAAGACTCACTGCCACTCTAACAAGTCTGTGGTATAAGGTGACTAATTAGGAGTGTTTTCATTTGAAGCCTTATTGCATCTGCCTGCTGAGATTCACGGAACCAGTTGTGTGCAAACAAATGAGTGACATCTGTCAAATGGATGTGCACAGAAAACTCAAGTTTTGGAGCAAGACCAAAGTCTATAAGGGGACAAATAACCAGGACTTTTCGTCAAGAGTTTACAGCTGGTAAACGCAAAGAGCAAGAAGAAGAAAGTTCCATGCCATGTTTTGCAGATGATCTAGTCTCCAAACTGCCATTAATCTTCTGTGTTTTCAATCTGTGCCACTGTGCTTACTAACACATTCAACATTTTCTCATGCTATTAATTTCAGTCTTCAGTACTATTCGTCATCCAGCTGTCACAGATTCCTATAGACCAGGGCTGTTCAACTTGAATGTTGAATTAAAAATCGACACCACAGCACTCTGGGCATTCCCATAAGTGCTCTGTCCCCATCTTCAGTAGCAAGCGAAGAGTTTCAATTCCGATGGCATCAGTAACTGTTTGATTGTATATCCGTCTCATTCTTCCCCTGAGTGTTGAGCGTCGGCCAAATCCCCTGGTAACTCCCCGCAGCGCCATTCTCCTCAGACCGTAATGATCTATCTGCGCCTCCTCATTCAACTGATCAAGTGGTCCAAGGATCATTGCCATTTGCGTTGTATTAATGATCTATCTGCGCCTCCGCATTCAACTGTAATCAAGTGGTCAAAGTATCATTGCCAGTTGTATTGTATTAATGATCTATCTGCACCTCTGCATTCAACTGTAATCAAGTGGTGCAAGGATCATTGCCACTTGCGTTGTATTAATGATCTATCTGTGCCTCTGCAAAGTGGTGCAAGGAACATTGCCAGTTGTGTTGTATTAATGATCTATCTGCACCTCCGCATTCAACTGTAATCAAGTGGTGCAAGGATCATTGCCACTTGCGTTGTATTAATGATCTATCTGCGCCTCCTCATTCAACTAATCAAGTGGTCCAAGGATCATTGCCATTTGCGTTGTATTAATGATCTATCTGCGCCTCCGCATTCAACTGTAATCAAGTGGTCCAAGGATCATTGCCACTTGTGTTGTATTAATGATCTATCTGTGCCTCCACATTCAACTGTAATCAAGGGGTCTAAGGATCATTGACAGCTCATCATCATCAGTTCTCGTTATGCCTAGTGGCACATGAGGCTTCAGAGAGGACTTTCCATGCTTTCCTGTCCTGTGAAATCTTCAATGCAGTTTTCCATGTCAAAGATGCCGCACTCAGGTATCATTGCCAGTTGTGTTGTATTAATGATCTATCTGTGCCTCTGCGAAGTGGTCCAAGGAACATTGCCACTTGCGTTGTATTAATGATCTATCTGCGCCTCCTCATTCAACTAATCAAGTGGTCCAAGGATCATTGCCATTTGCGTTGTATTAATGATCTATCTGCGCCTCCGCATTCAACTGTAATCAAGTGGTCCAAGGATCATTGCCACTTGTGTTGTATTAATGATCTATCT